AGGAATAGAATCCCAGGTTCTCTCACCTCTGCTTGAGGCTGCAGGTGGGTGTTTCTCTGGACTCCAGGAGGCTGAAGGACGAGGTGCCTGCCCCGACCCCAGCAACTCGTTCCCCTCAGACATGTTCTTCTCACTGGAGCCTATTCCCAGTATGCCACACTCCAGGGGGCTCAGCTGGAGCTGCTGCTGGACATCAGCAGTGGCTTCGAACTCAAAGAATGTGGCCGAGGGATGTGACTCCAGCTGGGCCTGCACTTCAGTGCTGGGGACAGGAAGGGGTTTGAAACATTCCCTCGGTGCTGCCGACCCCGAGGGGTTCCTCGCTCTGGGAGTGTGGTCTGTGGGCCCTGTGGCAGTGAAAGGACCCAGTCTCGGGAGGTTGCTGCTTAGGCTCTCCTGGGTGCTGACAGGGAACTGCAGAAAGCAGGTAAGGGTCAGGGGTGGCCTTGTCGTGGGGGGAAAGCCAGCTCTTTGGGAGGCTGTCAGCTGGTGAAATGCCATCTTCTCAGCAGGTGGTTCTGACACAATATTCTGCTTGACTCTGTCTCCTTGGTTGTCTTTATTTGCTGTTTCATCAGAGCTCTGCAAGATTTTTTCAGCTTTGAGCTTCATCTGTTTGCCAGCACCAAACCCTGGTAAGTGCTGCTCTGCTGCAGAGAAGTATGTCGTGGGTTCCCTGGTGTTTTGACTGCCTCTGGGTGGTGACTCGTTATGCCATGTGTTCTGCTGTGTGACCCTTGGGCATCTGCCACATGAGCCCATGCTCGCAGCATCTGCCTGACCCCTCTCAAAGGCTGATGGAGTCAGCCTGAGCCTCTTTTCCTCAAAGTTAGCTTCTTCTGCTGAAGCCTCAAAAGCCAAGAGCCTCCTCCTCCTTTCGGTGGCCTTAGGCCCTGTTCTGCCTCCATCCTGGAGCTTCCCACACTGCCAGTGGTAGGCATGTCCCACTCCACACATCCACAGCACCACGCTGTCCCTGCTCGGGTCACCTGTGGTCTGCATGAATTCCACGGCTGGGATCTGGTTGCATATGGTCCCATGAGTGTGTGCCCAGGTCACAAGTCTGGAGAGATCCGTGTGAAGGGCACTGGCCCCACCGCACGTCCCATCACCGTCACTCTCGTTCTGTAAAAGTGTTGGAGAGTACGTGAGTGAGGGGTGTGCAGGGCAGAGCAGCCCAGGGGCTGTTTCTGTGCCTCCTCAACAGAGTGATAATCATGGATCAGCAACTGCCTCACATGATTCTTTTTAAAAACTAATTACCTCATTCTTTCTGTCTAGGGTAACGCTTCTGCCATTACAGAATACTCACCATGCTGCTGCTTTCTGTCTCGTGAGCCTTCTCTCAGGTGGAGAGCAGTAAGTGACTCTGAATGGCCTTTCTCTCTCAGAACCTGAAACAGTCACCACACCTGTGTCCATATACATGGATGTGCACATACATAAATAGATATGTATATAAAGCCCTGCCCAGCTCATCCTGGAGCAAACAGCACTGCAGGCTGTGCCCACCCTGGGCTGAGCTCCCCCTGTGCTCCCAGGAGCTCTGCACACAAAGCCTGGCTGGGGTAAATATTTGCAGGATCAGCCTCTGCAGCACCAACCAAACGGAAACAAAATATAAACACTGAAAATAGACTTTTACAAACCAAACTGTGAGCTGTTCCTTGCAGCACCCTGGGGTTGGCAGGTTTTGCTTCTCTGAGCGCTGCACTGGCAGCATAAGATATGATAGATATGCCAGTTGTGCCTTTGGGGGAAGGACATGGGACACCTCTCATGGGCACCAGCTGAGCCTCCTGACAGGGAATGACCAGGAGGCACAGGAGCTGCTCCCTTCGGGGTGAGCCTGCAGCACAGGTCCCTCCTGCACTCAGGCTCCATCAATCCATATGTTCCTCCTTACAGCTCCCTAATGATAGCGTGGATAATTTTAGCCCGAGTGCTCAGCTGTGGCGTGTGCCAGCATGTGGAATGTGCAAAGCCAGGATTTACAGAGAATTCTTTACTGAAATCCGCTGCTGCTTTCACCAAAAAACAGACAATAAAAGCCTGTTTGGAAGCAGCAAATGCACTTTGAGCTCCTGATGTTAATCAAGGCCTTGTATGGAATCTGCTGTCCCCGTGAGCTCACTCCTGATTGATCACAGCAAACAGGGTGAGGAGTCACTTCCAAGAGCTGGTTGGGCTGTCCTGACCCTCACGGAAAATGAGCTCTGCCCAAGCTTCTCCCCAGAGGTGTCTGTGTGACCTGTTCCACCCTCCCAAGGCCAGGGAGCCCTCAAATGCTGAACCTAAACTTGGAGGAGAATCATTTTCCCTTCTGAAGGCAAAGAGTTTTAGCTCCGAGTCAGGGCTGAGCCGCTCAGACACACACAAAGGACCTTCCAGGCCAATAATCTGGTGCCTTCAGCCAGTGTGGGAAAAGGTAACAGGAGCGGAAGCTCCACATGGTCATAAGGCCACGAAATTACTGACTTGGCAGATGAACTTTTTGATCTCTATCACAGACCTCTGCAAATGGAATGCTTTTATCTTTCCTTATCTCCAGGCACATGTCTTCCTTTTCCTGATCTCTCAGAAAAAAAAGCCTTTTTTTCTCTTGCTATGTAGTTCCCAAGACAGGCTCTGGTGCTCAGCTACAGACCCTCCAGCCTGCTCTGGCCCTTGACTTCCAGCTCGGAGAGTGCCCAAAGAAAGGTGGAATCAGTCTGGATTCACAGTCACAACCGAGTGGGAAAAATGACCCATGTCCTTCCCCCAAAGGCACAGCTGGCATATCTATCTTCTCTTTAAATTACAAAAAGCCATCCTGATCACTGGCACAGCTTTCACCTGCTTCCAACAACCCTGAGATCCCTGTGGGGAGGGCTCTGGGGTTGGAGTTTGGGCTCAGGTTTGCTTAGGAGCCTCATGCCTGGTTTACTGCCTGCGTGGCTGGGAGTGATGTGGCAAGTTAATTGTCTTTCCAGGAGAGGCTCCCATCTGATAAAGGACACTGTGCTGGACCCACACCTTTTGCAGGAAAACAGGACATTCCAGTGCTGCATGGTAAAGGATTTCGTTTTTTTTAACCCATGGTGAATTCAGTGCACTGCTGAAACCTAGAGTTAGGTGGATTCAGGCTCACTCGAGTTTAAAATGATGGGAACATCAACAGCGAAATGCTCTTTCTGTTTTAAGACTTTCCTGCATGTAGTTTGAGCTGTTGGCAGGGAAAAGCATACTCAGCACTTTCTGAAAGGTCTGTCAGACACGGAACAACCTGAGAATGTCACTGTCAGGATCTTCCTCTGTCCCTACCACAGGCTCTGTGCAGCCCTGGGGTGTGCTGGAGGATGAACCCCGTGTGACGCTCAGCAAACAGCAGCACTAAATACACTCCTCGAGGTGCACTGAGAGCCCTTTGCCCCCTCTATCCCCCTGCCTGGGCTCCTCTCATGGGCGCTGACGCCTGTCCCACAGATTAGAGCCAGCAAACAGCAGAGCCCTGGCTTCCCTGCTCCAGATAAAACAGGGCAGGAAACTGCAACAATCCTGCCAGGAAAACAACAGGATGTACAACAGCAGTGCTTAAACTTGGCTCCTGCCCCTTCCCTGCTCACTCAGGAGCTCCCTGGAGGGGGGACGGGGCCAAACGCGTGGGCATCGCTGGAGCCGAGCGAGGGCACTGCCAGGGCCGTGTCAGGGCAGGAAGGGCTGAGGCTGCTCTCCAGCACCTGTGGCTGCAGGAGGGGAGCTGAGCAGTGCAGGAGCAGACTCTGGCTGCCAGAAATCACAGAGCTCATCCCACCCTCCCCAGCAGGGCCTGTAGGCTGGATCCATCCTTTCCCAGCACATGGGTTTCGTGTTCTCTTTGGTGTTTGTTTCCCTGCTCCCCTGCCCCGTACAAGAGCCTTCTCAGCACCTCTTCAGCTCTCTCCCTGCTTTCCCCTCCTGCCCTGCCGGCAGAAATACAACTCCCAGGATCCACCCTGTGCCTGCCACAGGGTGCCATCCCTCCATTTTGAGAGCTGCTCCCAGACAACAGGGCCTGGCTGTGGGCACCGAGCAGGAGATGGGCACTGCCCGTGAGCACTGGCCTCCAGCACCACTGGCCTCCAGCACCACTGGCCTGAGACAAGAGCTTTTCTGTGCAAAGAACCGGACACCCTCCTTTCCCAGCCTTGTCTCTGCTCTGCTGCCCTGGGACTGGCACTGGAGTGCTGGATCGAGGCCTCGGAGAGCGCAGATAGAAGCCACAGGCAGCTGGCACAGCACTGCCCAGGCCAGCGAGCAGGGACTAGCCACCAAACCAGCCAGAGGGATGGAGAGGATCCATTTGAGACCATCGACCTCTATCAACAGCAGCTCACATTGTGTTTCCCAGGAGGGAAAGCTGGAATCAGCAAAGGGCAGAGCTGTGACCCTGGCGGAGGATGCTGATACCCACGGGTACACCCAGTGATGCCCGGAGCAGCCTCTCCCTGTGGCTGTGCCTGGCAGGCCGGGGCTGTCTCCAGCACTGCAGGACTCTGCCCGGGGGGTTTGTCCCGTCTGTCCATGCAGGATTGACACCAAGCGGGACACGAGGTCTGTCCGTGTGGGAGTGACACCGAGTGGGACATGAGGTTGGGCCATGTGGGAGTGACACCGAGCGGGACATGAGGTTGGGCCGTGTGGGAGTGACACTGAGCGGGACACGAGGTCTCTCCGTGTGGGAGTGACACCGAGCGGGACATGAGGTCGCTCTGTGTGGCAGTGACACCGAGCGGGACACGAGGTCTGTGCGGGAGGGACACCGAGCGGGACACGAGG